TTTCCGATCGCCTCCATGGCCAGCTGGTGGGTGAACCAACAGGCATCAGCGCGCGACTGATGACTGTTCGCCTACGACTCGGAAGAGGTAAGTTTGCTACTTTTATAAGCACGTACGGTCCGACCATGTGTTATCCTGATGACACGCGTGATCAGTTCTACACTGAGCTATCCTCCGTGATACGGTCTGTGCCGAGGATTGACCGACTATTTCTGCTGGGTGATTTCAACGCGCGCGTTGGGCTTGATGCATCGGTGTGGACAGATGTCATCGGTCCGCATGGCATTGGTTCAGCGAATGCGAATGGTGACAGGCTGCTCTCACTGTGTGCCACTCACGGCCTGACCATCACGAACACTCGGTTTGCACTGAGTGCGAGTGATATAGCAACTTGGACGCACCCATGTTGTGGTCACGCTGACCTGCTCGACTATGTCATCGTACGTCAGCGTGATATGCGTGAAGTGCGCATGATACGTGTACTACGTGGAGCAGAGTGTGGTACTGATCACAAATTGGTTCGGACCAAACTGTACATATATTTTCGTAAATCTATGTATTGCACTTCCGCCGTGAGTCGGTGTAAATGTAACATTCTCTCCCTCTGTACTGTGGAGAAACCTATTGAGCTAGAGAAGGTAGTGGTTGTACGCTTGTGTGATGTGGAATGCATAGCCACAGTGGGCTACCTGTGGCACCACATTCGTGACCACGGGACAGCCGCTGCCGAGGAGACCATCGGGCGCGCAAACTGTAAACGGCCTGATTGGTTTGATGACAACAATGCGACGATTGGCGCATTGGTGTCAGAGACGAATGCAGCATTTGCTGCACATGTGGCAGACCCCAATGACTTGGGGAAGAATAGTCAGTTTCGCGAAATTCGACGGCGACTAACCCGAGAGCTCCGTCGCCTTGAAAATGCATGGTGGACGGAGAAGGCGAAGCAGATGGAATGCTACGCCGGACGCAGCCAACACAAGCAATTATTCGACTCCATGAAGGTGGTGTATGGAGCGAGATTGGAGCCGCTGAGGACGCTAATCCATGGTAGTTCAGGCGCTACCTGCACACGGACTGCAGACATAATGCAGATCTGGCGAAATCACTTTGACTGTCTCTTGAACAATCGTTCAGAGATCGACTGGTCTACTTTGAACGGCTACAAGCAGCACGATGTGAAGCTCAGTCTGGCGGAAACGCCGACAATGGATTAGACGCAGAGAGCGCTTGCTCAGCTGCGAAACGGCAAGTGTGCGGGGACCGACGGGACCTTGCCTGAAGTATTGAAACACGGCGGACCCGCGTCGGTGACTGCGCTGCACCACTTGTTGCAACGCGTATGGATTAAGGAGGAGGTGCGTGTTGGGCTGAAGGATGCCCATGTGCTACCACTGTACAAGGGCAAAAGGAGCAAACAATGTTGCAAGAATTATCGTGGCATCAACGTGCTGAGTTGTGTGGGCAAGGTGATTGCCCGAATCATGCTCAACCGCCTCGTCAGTCAGGTTGTGGAACTAAGCGTGGCGGAAGAGCAGTGTGGATTCCGTTCGGGTAGCAGCACCATCGATATGGTTTCTGCTGCTCATCAGTTGCAGGAGAAGTGCAGAGAACGACACCAGCCGTTGTACTCGCTTTTTGTTGATTTCACCAAATAATTTGATACGGTGAACCGCGAGGCATTGTGGCTGGTGTTAAGTAAGTTTGGTTGTCCGATTAAGTTTGTAAGTTTAACTGAATGTCTGCACAGTGGTATGCGGGAGAGGGTGAAGCTGAGTGGATAGACCTCGGATGTCTTTGCAGTTGTCACTGGTGTGAAGCAAGGCTGTGTCTTAGCTCCTGCCCTGTTTAATATCTATCTTCATGCAATGATGTCCTGTGCTTTTGATGCGGCTTGTGCTTACGGTGTTCGTGTGGAGCACCGTATTGATGGTGCGTTGCTGAACATCCGTCGTTTCGGTGCGAGAACTCCAGTCTGTGAGACAACTATCCGTATGTTGTTGTTTGCTGACGACTGTGCGTTGTTTGCACAGAGCGTGGATAAGTTGCAGCACATGACTAGTGGCTTCGACAGCAGCCAAATTCGCACTCACCATCAACACAATCAAAACTGCCTGTCTATTTCAGTCTTCACCGGAGGTGCAATCTTCAGTAGTGTCGCGAATCAGCTTTGGTGCTGAAGTATTGGAAACCACGTTCCGCTTCTGCTACCTTGATAGTGTGGTGTTGACTGACCAGCAGCTACACATTGAGCTACATATCCGCGTCTCGATGGCAGCCGCGGCATTCGAGAAGCTAGAGTACCGATTGTGGAACAACCATCAGCTTACCATTGGCACGAAGCTGATGGTGTACAAATCCATGGTGCTGTCCATTCTTCTATATGCCAGTGAAACTGGACAATGTACCGTTGGGATGTGCGATATCTCGAGCGGTTCCATCAACAGTGTTTGCGACAGATTTTGCGCATCATTTGGGGCCACAGAGTTGCGTACACGAATGTGTTGCATTGAAGTGGAATGTATGCAGTGGGCTGCATACTTTTGCTGAGACATCTGGGTGGATCGGTCATGTGAGCCGTATGGATTCGTCGTGGGTACCGAAACAACTACTATTTGGTCAGCTAATTATTGAGAATCGGCATGCGGGGAAACCGATGTTACGTTACCAGGACATGAAAAAATGAGCCTCTCAAGTTCTAATCTTGATTGCAGGTCATGGGAATCGAAGGCGGCTGAACGGGGTGTATGGCCTGATCTGATCACGAAGGCAGTTGCCGAAGTGAGAAGAAGCGGCAATTGCGGATGCGACAGGTGCCGATGGGTTGTACTCCATCGACATCGAGCGCATGATGCTGTAGCACATGCGGTCGCGAGTGCCAGAGTGGTCTAGTGAGGCATGAACGAGGCCACTCGGAGCCACCACCGAAGCGACGACGGGTCCTGCAGAGAACGTAGTCAGAACCGGCACAACGATTGTAGGTACGCCGCATCCGGTTTACTAACTGCGTGTTTGCTTGCTATCACTTTATTTCCGGTGGTGCGTTTGCAATTTTGTCCCAATTCTTTTATTTCTCATATTAACCTCTATCTGTACCATCTCCTTTAAACTTGCACAGACCGCTGAAACTAACTGCAGTTAGTTTCGATAACATTTTCGCGTTTGTGGCATTTCCTTAAAATATATCTTCTGACCTCTTGAACTTATCGCGGATTCGTTCGTAACCAATTTATTTTATAGGCCTATTTAGTGAAGAGTTATGCCGACGTATCTCTATGTCTTATCCGATTTATTTTCTTTCATCTTGTCGTTTCAAGTGATTGGCTGTTGCTTGATATCCCCGGTGTGGCTGCGTTTGATGTGTAGGTTGACAAGGTGCCTGCCTGTCTATTACCCACTACCTCGTCCATGATGGCTCTAGATGACAGTTGGACGTTGCTGGAGTGGACAGGGTGCACGGTCCTTGTGGTCGTGTTAGGATCAAAGAGTGGTTCCATGCACTCAGTGTGGAGCTGACAACGGTCTCGCCAACGCCTTGCGTGCGACTGATTCCCAAATACAGCGTGCTTGTGTTTGTCAATGAAGGAGTGTGGGCCGGCTCCATTGATGAAATGTGGTCCCCATCCACATGCCTCCCGGTCTTATTCCTTCGGGTTTACACTGGATATGGGGTGTG